TTTCAGGTAGGGGAGGAGCCTCAGTAATGCACAGCATCCACAACCCCCAGCTTGCCCCACTGGAGATCTTGGGGGCAGATTGGACCAACCCAGCTGACCAAGGATAGGGTCTGATCGGGGCACACAGAGAAGGTGTTGATTCAGTGCCTCTCCTAGGTGGCCACAGCAATTTAAAGCTGCTCCCCCCTGGCAGAAGCCCCATAGTAGCAGTCAACCCTCCCAGCCCAGAGGTGTGCAAATGGTAATCCCCAATGCCTCAAAGGTGTCAATGCTGTGGGTTAAGGTATCTAGGATGGGGAAAGGGCCAGCGTTTTCTTGAGGCTCTGTGCTTGCTTTAATATCCTCCTTATGCCTTTCATGCTGATGCCAGCAGGAAGCACAGATCCAGCCCCCCAAAAGTTAATAATTGGACAATATTCTCTGGTGGGTGTGTATTTTTTCCTGCTGATTCTTCAATCCTCATGCTGGGCAGCAATGCATTTAGTGGGGCGGGGAAACGGCATCTATATATCCCTGCCTCACCGAGGATTGAAGCTCAACTCCCCAACACAGCAAAGGGCCCACTCATAATCCAAGCAGTCCAGAAGGGAAAAGCCCTTGGTATTTGCATGGTGCACGTTAGGTGGGGGTTCCCAGTATCTGAATACTGTCTGGATCTCAGATATGAGTCGAATAAGAATAATAGGCCACCCCTTAGCCACAGAACTTTCCTCTCCTAACAACAAGCCCTGTGCTTCTCTTTCTCCGCTTACCTGTAGCCATTTTCTGAGGAGAGACTGATTTTTCAACCCCTCCCAGAAAATTCTGTGGGGAAAATGGCTCCTCCTTTAAGGCAATGGAGAGGAGTGGGACAGACAGCTACTAGGTTTCTATCAGTAAATGGCTGAAAGTAATGGAGCAACCTGGGCCTGTGTGGGGTGGGAGTGGCAGGGGCCTCTGGGAAAGGAAGGGAATGGCTATCCCCTCCTGACCTGGATTGCTTTCCTCAGCCTCTGATGGAAGCCTCCTGTAAAGACATGATATAGTGACAAAGGGTGCCAGATGGTTAGGACATGAGCTCCAGTGGTTCCCAGTGGCTCAGAAAAAAACTTCCTGAGCTGGAGGCATGTATTATACTGGGTGATCTTGTCTGAGTGTGCATGCCTACCTCACTGATCTCTAGGTGCCAGACAACTAGAGGCTGTAAATCTTAATATTGTTATTACTATAGCTAATAGAGATTATCATTTAGGATGAGTCAGAGGAGCCCATGGTTTTGAAGCCCAGGGGCCTGTGTCCCCTCCCCAGAGCTGCACGTGTGCGTTGTAGATGATGACTCTTATGTCTAGATCTGTGCAAATGGCCCATTGGCAACATGGTGGGTGAATTCCAATGTTTTCACTTCTTGAACCTTGCCACTCTCGAGGTGCCCCCAAGGCGCTGTTCTAAAGCTACTCCCACAGTCCTTCCAACAAGGGGAGGCTGGGTCTAAGAATAAGACCTGGATCCTTTAGGTGGCAATTCTGTTTGCTAGGGCGTAGGTCACCAGACAGACAATCTTGACTGAACCACACAGGAGAGGAGTGGAGATGAACAGTGGTTCTAGCACCCAGGCCCCAAACAATAAGTTTGGCTCTGGATCCAGAGTGTAGCTGAATCCTCCAGCTCTGTGAGGAGGAGGAATACCAGTGCTAGACACGGCCAGATTTTGGGGATGTTCAGCCTAGGATCCAAATCCAAAGTGTGTGGCTTATAGAGAGGGGTAGGCCAGCTGGACCCACCAGTGTAAGTGGGGATTTAGATAAACATTTTGTGTCCATACTTCTGACAGCTAAAAAGGACAACATAGCCCCGGTGCCCTTCGGTCCGTCAGACTCGTGTGTCCTCTTTCCATCCGGTTTTGTAAATGTCAGCATTTAACCACGAAGCGAGTGATACAATTTGGAAGTAACACTATTAGGGTGTTTCCCCATTTCTCCCTTTACTCCTCCTCCAAGCAAAAACTGTTTTCCCAGCTTAGCTTTATACAAAGGAAAACAGAGCACCTGGGGGGGGATCCAGCCAGCAGCAATGGGATTTGTGCATTATTCAATGCTGCTTGGTTTACAAATACCCTTATTATTTATATTCCTTTAACATTTCACCATGTAGGGAGGCCTCTCCATCCTCCTTCCTCCCCTCCTCCTTTTCCTTTCTTACCACACTGCCCTGATGCTGACTTTAAGTCCTGGCGTTAAATCTTCCGTCACAAACTCGCAGTTGCAGCTTTTGTTATCATCGGGAATGTCTTCTCCAGGGAGGCTTGCTTCTGGGTTTAAAAGAAAGAAAGAAAAAGAGAATCCACGGCTAATTAGAGCGTCATTGCAGCAGAAGGAATGGGAGCGTCAGACTCCAGAAGTGAGCACATGGAAGACATAAATGGCATGTTACCTTTGCATCTTAACAAAAGCTTTCTCTCCCTCTGAGCTAGGCTAAGATGACATCTGATACCACCAGTTTCAGTCCCTATCTGTCTTTAAGGGCAACACATAACTGAATCCTCTTTCCTCTCCCACCCCAGCATCTTCATGTGGCTAAAACAATACCTTATGACGTGCTAATAAGAGAGAGAACGAAACAGATCAGTAAATTTAGATGGTTCAAATCCCCTTCACCTCCTCCAAACTGGCTGAGCCAGTAAGGATCCTGTTTAAATGAACTGCCTATTATTAAAAATCTTCAAGTAAGAGTAAGAATCACTGGATATAGATTCTCCAACTTCCCCTGCTACTGAGTAATCGGTATCTGATCCCTTTCGTGGTGGGCACATAGATGGTTGGAGACAAAGAGATATGCACAGAATATCCAAAGACAACTCTTGATCAAATTATTCTGAGAAGCTTAAATATCTAAATCAGAAGGTAAATAATTTAAGGATCAAAACCCCAATATTTCCTATGTGAAGCTGAATGCCTTATACTGTACCAAGTAATGGAGACATCCTTATTGACTATCTGCTGGATTCACACCTGCCAGCAAAATTCCTGTTGTGGCAGCACCAGGCAGATCTTCTGTCCAAGTGCTGACCCAGCCTGACCCCACTTAGCTTGGGAGGAAATCAACAGGATGGCAGTCCATGGTGACAAGGAAAAATGGCTGCCCTCAGAAGCTCTCACCTTCAGAGTTCTGTCGAGACGCAGCTCCCTTGATCCGGAATGCTTGCCGGGCTCGGCTCCGGTCTCCAAAGCTCCAACTTTTGGGCACTTTGCTCGGGCTATCTTCAATGCTCTGATCAGCGCTGGGGGATCTCCGGAGGCTCTGAGCCTGTGGAGAGCTTTTCCCTTTAGTTCCAGAACCTCGGGGACTGGAGAAGACACGGTCTTTCAAGCTGACCTTCTGACTATTCATGGAAACAAATTGAAACAAAGACAAAAAGGAGACAGCAGGGGGAGTCACTCTGGAAACCGCACGTCCCTTCCCCGTCAGTCCTTAGAAACCCACGGCATTACAAAGCAGAGGTGAGATGTGTCCAGTTTTTATTTTTTTAGAGCATTTCAGAATGGTTTCCATCATCGTGAATGAAATGCGAGGGATCGTTAATTAGGAAAAAATAATGGAAGTTTAAACAGAAACCCCTCCTATTATTAGAGGGCTTGCTGAACAGAATGGCATGAAACAATGATGTCGATGGTTCCTTCCATCATTTATTGGTTCCTATGATGAGTTATGATGCTTTTTTCCACAGTTTCCATCAAAAATCCTTTTTCGATACGAAAATATTAGCAAAAGTTTACCAAAAATGTTTCAAAGTAAAGTTAAAAAGCTATTGATGCCTTTTCAGGCCAGTCACCTGTCTCTTTTCCCCTTCCGCTCACGCCATCTTTTCTACCAACTGAAAAAGTTCTCAAGCCCTTTTCTATCCTCAGGTTAAAATAAAAATCTTTTTCTGTACACGTAATGAATGTTAACAACACAGTTGTGAATTAAAATCCTAATAAGGATTTGAGGTTAAAAAGCACTTGCATATTTACTAGGGCTGTTCAAATATTTGCAGCAAAATTGGAATACTTCAGAATCTGAGATGTTTGCACTTAATTGCAATTTCTTTAAAATGATCCAATTTTATTGCAAAATATTCTGGTTTTTGCTTGAAAACCATCCTGTTTTTGGAGTAAAGATGATTCCCGTTGATAAACAGTCTTATTGTGGAGCCAAACCTCTCTATTTTCAAATTTCTGAATTCTGAAATTTCAAATGAAGATGAAGAATTTTCACATGAAACTTGCAAAAAATGATTTTGTGAAACTTTATGAAAGGGACAAAACTTGATAATTGCAACATTCCCAGGAACAAAACTGAAAATATTTTTAGTTTTGCATAGACCTAATATTTGCCAAATGCCAACTGATTATTAACAGAAGATATTTATTGAGAATAGATAACTACTACAAAGCACTTCCTCATTTATCCAATATTTTATATGAATGTAAATTCAAGCCTGAGTAAAGTTCAGACGTAATTTCCAAGTGGTTTCTACCACAATAACAGTTAACATTCTGCACTGGAACATCTTACAAACTCAGCAGCAGAGGTGCACATGAACTGACTGAATCAAAGCGCTGATTATGCTTAGGAAAGTGACTCAGAGAGAAGGGTATTGTGGGAACTTATCCTATCTCAATGACTTCTAGGTCAAACTTACTTAGTTAAAGTAGCAAAGATTTATTTTTTCTAGCTGTCAGTGCCGCCACCTCAGATCTAAGAAATAAGCTGCCTCTTATTTCATCGTTATTAATAAAGATTCTGCAGTTACAATATAGCTGTGGATATGTGAGACAGCTTTATCGGCTGCACTGGGCTGCCAGGAGCATTTGGTTTTGTCAGTAAAGGAACCAGACACACAGGGAGCAGATCCGTTGTGCTATTTTTACATAGTCGCTTTATAGTGTGAAACCTCATTGTACAGACTGATCAAAATGCTTAACTAGAACTCTAATTCTAAAAGCAAAACACAGGTGCCCTAAATTAGAGGCACAGGTGAAGCTACTTTTTAAATCTGATCCTAAATGAAGGGTGTTCTTGTAGCCTATTCATTTGTAAGGCTCATGTGTGTTACATGTACAGTTCGAATTTCTTTATTCTACAAGGACTGTTTAAATATTTTATCTGACAAAGTCTGCCAAAAGCTAAAATCCAGAATTCAATCCTATCTCTTAGCGCTTCATCCTGAGAGGTGCTGCATACCTGAATTGGTTTTCTTGAGAACTGTGCATGCTCAGCATGTAAAGATTGTTTATCCCTAAGAACGGCCATACTGGGTCTGATCAAAGGTCCATCTAGCCCAGGGGTCGGCAACGTTCGGCACGCGGCTCGCCAGGGTGAGCACCCTAGTGGGCCGGGCCAGTTTATTTACCTGCTGACGCGGCAGGTTCGGCCGATCGCGGCCCCGACTCGCCATGGTTCGCCGTCCCGGGCCAATGGGGGTGGCAGGAAGCGGCGCGGGTGAGGGATGTGCTGGCCGCGGCTTCCCGCTGCCCCCATTGGCCCTGGACAGTGAACCGCGGCCAGTGGGGGCCGCGATCGGCCGAACCTGCCGCGTCAGCAGGTAAATAAACTGGCCCGGCCCGCTAGGGTGCTTACCCTGGCGAGCCACGTGCCAAACGTTGCCGACCCCTGATCTAGCCCAATATCCTGTCTTCCGACAGTGGCCAATGCCAGGTGCCTCAGAGGGAATGAACAGAACAGGTAATCATCAAGTGATCCATCCCCTGTCGCCCATTCCCAGCTTCTGGCAAACAGAGGCTAGGGAAACCATCCTCGCCCATGCTGGTTAATAGCCATTGATGGACCTATCCTCCATGAACTTATCCAGTTCTTTTTTGAACCCTGTTATAGCCTTAGCCTTCACAACATCCTCTGGCAAGGAGTTCCACAGGTTGATTGTGTGCTGTGTGAAAAAATACTTTCCTTTGTTTGTTTTAAACCTGCTGCCTATTAATTTCTTTTGGTGACCCCTAGTTCTTGTGTTATGAGGAGTAAATAACATTTCCTTATTTACTTTCTCCACACCAGTCATGATTTTATAGACCTCTATCATGTTCCCCCTTAGTCGTCTCTTTTCCAAGCTGAAAATTCCCAGTCTTATTAATCTCTCCTCAGAGGGAAGCTGTTCCATACCCCTAATCATTTTTGTTGCCCTTTTCTGAACCTTTTCCAATTCCAATATATCTTTTTTGAGATGGGGCAACCACATCTGCATGCAGTATTCAAGATGTGGGCGTATCATGGATTTATATAGAGGCAATATGATATTTTCTGTCTTATTTCTATCCTTTTCTTAATGATGCCCAACATTCTGTTCGCATTTTTGACTGCCGCTGCACATTGAGTGGATGTTTTCAGAGAACTATCCACAATGACTCCAAGATCTCTTTCTTGCATGGTAACAGTTAATTTAGACCCCATCATTTTATATGTATAGTTGGGATTATGTTTTCCAATGTGGATTACTTTGCATTTAATTTTATCTGCCATTTTGTTGCCCAGTCACCCTGTTTTGTGAGATCCTTTTATAGCTCTTTGCAGTCTGCCTGGGATTTAATTATCCATCACTGAATAAAACTGGGCCCTTATTCTGGTTGCCCCAATCCCATTTCCCAAGTAAATGTGTTGCAAAAGATTCCATGAACTAAGGATGGCAAATCAGAAAGTACTGAATTTCCTACAGAACATGAGAGAGAGGAATTTCATATTAAGACATCACAAGGTGCAATATTTTACTCATTAAAAATATCACTTATGAATCTGAGGAACATTTAAATCCATTCAGGTCTGATCCCTGAGTACTCAAACTCTCGACATTTGGAATGCCTCCAACATTCCTTTGTATTAAACAAACAAACAAACATTAACAATAAAGACAACATTGGTAATCCATTACGGTTTTCCTTCTGCCATGCAATTTTTTCAATGTAAAAGCTGACTAGAATCTGCATGCAGACACAGGCCCTGCAGTGGAAAATGCAGTTGAGAGGCGGCCGGAGCAGGGGAGGGAAGAATGCAAAAGAAAAGCAAATGCTTTCAGCTAATCTAAGATCATGTCCTCATCCAAGCAGAACGTCATGCAAGGTGAGGTGCAGTGTGTCAGAGAAGTGATACTTAGATGCCAACCACGCAGATGGTAGATGGACATTATTTGGTAGTACAGTATGTGCGTTGAGTGGAAGGGGGAAGGAATGGTTATCCCAACACACACAACTGCAAGAAAGGAGGCTTGTAACTGTGACACTCGCATGAACTGAGGGAGAATGGGACATTCGTTCTGCCTGTTCTAAGGGGAAGGGAGGATAAAGCGAATCACAAGGTTTTGTAACCTGTACCAAAATCTATGGGAAATAATAATAGAATCAGATGGTCTGGTTGGTTCCTGTATCAAAATGAGGTAGCTACTCTTGGTTAATATTTGTTTAAAACCCATTTTTTTTATTATTAAAAAAGAACCCTACAGCATTACTGCACGGACTTAAATGAGAATTTGCTCAGCGTTTAACCTGAATCCAGTGAAGGGTGGAAATGTATAATTTACCTTTTCTCTGCTATTGAAATGTGCTTTTACTTTCTAAGGCAGATTCCTAGCAAACATCTACTCCAATAAATGAAAGTTCATACCTCACTAGCGCACTTAGGGGCCCAATCCAAATTCCAGTGAAGTTAATGGAAAGACTCCCACTGACTTCAGCAGGCTTTGGATTGGGACCGTCTGGCATGTGATGGTTACAACATTCACCAGAAAAGTGGTTAAGAACTAACCCTCTTTGTACATACACAACACAGAACAGTTGGTTGACACACAATGTGTTTATGGATATTGATGGTTTAAGTTCTTGTTGGAAATCTCCTGGGTTTTGTGGGTTCATTTCATAGCCTTAGCAACCTCCTGATGTTCTGTTGTTGCATTCCCTTACTCATTCCTGATTCACAGTAATTTTGGATCAATAAAAATGACTACCTACTGGTTTTTGTCAAGTATTTGAAATTGCTTCATTTTCTCCTTTTGCCTGCATATAGCAAAACTGATCAATACCATCCAGTATGCAGTGTTGTTGTAGCCATGTTGGTCCCAGGATATTAGAGAGACAAGATGGGTGAGGTGATATCTTTTATTGGACCAACTTCTGGTTGGTTAGAGAAACAAGAAGTTGGTCCAATAAAAGAAAGCTCACCCGCCTTTGCTCTCCAATACCATCCTGGACTAAATAGTCATTTATATACGAACTCAGCTGGCAATAATATTAGTTCTACTGAACAGTATATCCAGGAGAGGGAGGGAGAGAGAGAGCAAGGAAGATTGTCCTGCTGGAAATGGGGCGGTTGTTCAATCCACAGTTTGGGCCGAGTTCA